CCCTTTAAACAGCCCATGGGAGGACCTAGAGGCAAAGAGCCCACACTTGGAGCACTGAGTAGCACACCTCCCTAGAGGATCAAGGAGCAAGTCCCCCCCGGGGTCTGAGTGGGCAGGGCCGGGCCTCCAGACACCTAGGAAGGTGAGGCCAGGTGAGGAAGAAAAGACATTTCCTTCTGTTCCCCTGTGCTCCCCTCCCATGGGCAGCCCATGGGCTGCGGCCGCAGCCTCCTGTCATGAGGAGATGGGGGCCTGAGGGCCACCAGGCAGCCTCGGGCAGGGTGTGGGTGGGCCCTGCTGTGTCTGAACCAGCCCTTCCTGACCAGCTGGAGGTGGCCAGCGGGCTTCTTTCTGGGACTGGAGAGGGCAGGAAGAGGAGAGAGGAGGACAGCCCAGAGCTGGGTCGTGGTCAGGAGAGGGTGGAGGGGCCTAGCAGACCAGAGGTGATTTGGGGCAGTGATTCCTAGATCCCTGGAATGGGGAAGTCGATCAGCTGGGGCGCCACGCCCAGAGGGGCAGATCTAGGGAGAATGGATTCTGTGGAGTGGAAGCCAGGGAAGGCAGCAGCTGTGGCCTCAGTACGTGGAGGCAGAGCCTGCTCCCTCCTGCACCCACGGCCCCGCCAAGAGGCAGTAAAAACTAGTCGCGCAGTCCCTTGTCAGACTGTGATTGCCCCGAGCACTGCACCGAGGGGTAGGCACCCCCAGAAGGGCTCCCTGCCTCACAGTTCCTCAGAGGCCTGTCTCTGACCAGAAACACAGATTCTCTCCTTCAGAGAGACCTGATGGTAGGGGGGCAGGGACCCTACCTAGAAGGGGAGGAAGAAAGAGGAGGGCTCAGGAGGGGACAGAATGCAGACTCTGGGATGTTTCAGGGACACTGCCAAGGCTAACTTCACGGTGACCCCTGGGTGTGCATGCTGCAGGATTTGGGGGGAGTTCATCTGGAGCTTGGAGGCTGTGGGCAGAGGGCATGTCCGGATGCTTGAAGGGCAGGGAGAGAAAAGCAGGTACAAGTCCTTTGTCAAATTCAGAGTGAGGGGCGCCTGAGCGGCTCAGTGGGTTAAAGCCTCTGCCTTCGGCTCAGGTCATGATCCCAGGGTCCTGGGATCGAGCCCCACATTGGGCTCTCTGCTCAGCGGGGAGCCTGCTTCCTCCTCTCTCTCTGCCTGCCTCTCTGCCTCCTTGTGATCTCTGTCTGCCAAATAAATAAATAAATCTTAAAAAAAAAAATTCAGGGTGAATCTGGGAGAGTTCTCCTCATCCTCTTTGTTTTAAAGTCTTGGGTAGAGGAAGCAAGAGGGAGGCAGGGACATCCTAATACTACTACAGGGGTGGGGGGACTGCTGTCTGGGACACCTGGCTGGCTCAGTCAGTAGACTGTGCCACTCTGGGTCTCAGGGTCCTGAGTTCAAACCCCACATTGGGTGTAAAGCTTAGTTTAAAAATAAAAGTAAAAAAAAGAAAAATGGTACCAAGGGGGTAACTACATTCTGAGGTCCTTATCTTGCCCCATTGCCTGGATCTACTAGGCCCTTCCTCCATGAGCACCATCCCAAGCCCTGAGACTTCCTGTGACAGAGGGTTTCAGGGAAACTCTGGCCCCCTCAGGGGGAGTGGATCTTAGCAGGACAGCCACTAGCCCCTTTAAGCCATTAGTCCCCCAAGGTGACTGGGGGGATGGTAGGGGATGAGGTGTGGAGCTTGGCAGGGACTCTAGGGACCAAGGCCTTAAAGAGCAGAGAGCAGATCAGGGGCTGGACTCTTCTCAAAGCCTCCAGAACTTGGCTCATTCAACTCTCTAGTGCTTGCCAGAAATGTGAGGGCCTGTGGGTTGACTGTGAGGGACAGTTGACTGTCCCTCACAGCTAGGGACAGAGGGACTGTGAGGGACAGAGGGGTGTCAGTGTTCCCTAGAGCCCATCCTCAGGCATCGGGGTCCTCAAGCACCATTTCTGCGCTCACCGCCACACCCCCCCGCCTGCTGCCCTCTCCATACACACCCCCCACACACCATCCTCTATGAGAGAGTGTAAATTGCTTGTCATTCGGCAAATAACAGCCCACCTGGCTTGTATTTTTACCACGTACAAAAACACTGTAGAGAAGACAATAGAGAAACCTCTTGTCTTCTCTGATCCTTGCTATAGTATGGTGAGGTAATAGGGTCAGGGTACACTCAGAAGAGGAAACCAAGCCCCCGTGAAAGTCTTTGTTTTTGTTATTTTCAACGGTTTAGCTCTGGTTCACATGGTTAGTGCCTGAACCAAAGGTCAGGCTGTCCAGTGAGAGCTTCTGCTGTGTTCTAGATGGTGTGTGTTACATTTTCTAAATCTGCAGCAGCCCTCCATTATCCCCATGCCATCGACAAGACAAATGAGGCTCAGAGAGATCAGGTGACATCCTCAAGCTGACAGGGACAGAAATGGGTCTCCTGTCCTATTGGACACCTCATCCAGTGCTCATTCCAAGGTACTGGCAGAAGTGACTTAACTGCTTTGGTGGGGGGGTGGGGGACCTGAGGTGCATTGAAAGCTGGAGACAGGCCTCTGCTCCCCAAAGTCACAAGCTGTGATTTTGCTTTTATGGAAGCCCTGTAGGAAATGGGTGACTTGGGAAAGATGGGGTGCCCCCTCCCTAGCGGGGAGCCAGGGAAATGTCATGGGGACAGAGCCAAACCAGGTCTCTGTTCCTCTGAAGTTTGGGTTCAGGTCTCAACCTGAGGGGTGGGTACAAGAGAAGTGCTTGGGGGGCTCTCTGGGAAAGAGGGTCCCAGCCCTGAAGGGTTGGAAAGAGAAGAGAAGGAGGGAAAGTAGGCAGGCCCTGCTCTTCCAGCTCCTGCTTGAGGTCAGGGAACATCTAGAGACACGCTCTGGCCACAGAGCCACAGAGAAGCAGGTGGAGGCCTGAGCAGATGCCTGGGCCAATCAGGGGGCCCCTGTACCTGCCAGGGAAGTGGGCCAGGTGTGAGGCGGGGCTCCATGCCAGGGAGAGTATTAAATGAGCTTCCAGCTTATTTGCATGTCCTAATTAACCATAAAATGAGCCCCAGGGGCAGAATTAAGCTGTCAGTTTCCCTCTGCTTCCACTACCTCCCCCTCATCCCACTGCTCCCCACCCCTACACCTCCCTGCATCGCTTAGGTCCCAGGCATTCCCATTCCCCTCTCCCCTCAGCTTCAGTGAAATACAGTTTCCATCCTATCACAACAAAAGCCCAGAAAAAGAAGGAAAAGGAAAAGGTGGTGGTGGTGGTGATGTGTGTGTGTGTGTGTGTGTGTGTGTGTAAATGAACTGGCCATAGCCTTTCATTAGCAAAGCATGACCTCGTGATGAGGGCATTACACCAGCCCAGTCAAGACCAGGGCAGAATTCCCCCCACCGGACAGTGAGCATTCCATTTATTATCCATGCATGGATAATATGGGGAGGACAGGTTTTGTTGTTGTTCCTCTTGACTTGGCTTTTGGAGCAGAAAGGGACACTTCATGGGGTAGTGTGAAAAACACAAGGCTGGAAGTCCATCGGGACTGTTTCAATCCCAGCTCTGCTGTGGTGACCTTGGGCAAGTTGCTCGACTTCTCTGAGCATCTCCATGTACAATGAGAGGACCAGCAGCCACTCCCAGAGTGTGGCTGAGAAGGAAGTAAGAATGCAAAGACGGTGGGTGCCTGATGCCTGTGAGTTCTGTTGGCGGCAAATGTCACTCCTGTTTTGTTCTGGCTCCGAGTTAAAGTGAGTTTTCATGCCCTTGGAACACTTCTGGCCAACCGATGGGTTGGGAGTTCCTTCTTCTCACTGAACCCCTTGGGCTGGAAACCGGGTCCTATTCCTTGCTGTTTTTAGGTCCTGTCGCGGTGCCTGGCATTGGGAGATGTTCAACAAAGTTTTGTTAAATCGGTCTGGATTGCGATGACCCGTCCACAGAACAGATGAGTCACAGATGAATGGCCAAGAGGGGACCTGGTTTCCTGTGGAATCATTCTGGATGGAGAGCTTGGTGACTTCACCAGAGCCCAGTGGGAGGAATCTTCTCTCTCTCCCTCCCTCAAACACACACACACACACACACACACACACACACACACACACACACACACAC